AAGTGTTCCTATTTCTCCACATCCTTTCCAGCATCTGTTGTCTCCAGATTTTTTAATGATCACCATTCTAACTGGCATGAGATGGTATCTCAATGTGGTTTTGATTTGCATCTCTCTAATGACCAGTGATGATGAGCATTTTTTTCATGTGTTTGTTGGCCTCATGTATGTCTTCTTTTGTAAAGTGTCTGTTCATATCCTTTGCCCATAATATTTATTTATTTTTATTTTCGAGACAGAGTCTCACTCTGTTTCCCAGGCTGGAGTGCAGTGGCATAATCTCAGTTCACTGCAACTTCCTCCTCCCAGGTTCAAGCAATTCTTGTGCCTCAGCCTCCTGGGTAGCTGGGATTATAGGTATCTGCCACCATGCCTGGCTAGTTTTGTTTTTGTTTTTGTTTTTGTTTTAGTAGAGATGGGGTTTCATCATGTTGGCCAGGCTGGTCTTGAACTTCTGACCTCAGGTGATCTGCCCGCCTCAGACTCCCAAAGTGCTGGGTTTACAGGCGTAAGCCACTGTGCCCAGCCTGCCAAATTTATTTATTTATTGAGACTTGTGTTTATAGCCCAGCATATGGTCTCCCTTGGTGAATGTTCCATGTTCATTTGAAAAGAATGTGTATTCTTGCTATTGCTTAGTATTATGTTCTTTCTATAAATATCATCTAGGTCAAGTTAATAATGTTCAAGTCTTCTTTATCCTTTTTGATTTTTTGATAGCTTATTGCTGATTATTGTTCTATTTATTACTGAACAAGGGTTGTTAAAATCTCCAAGTATTACTATGAATTTGTTAAGTTCTTTAGAAAGTTCTATTTTTGCTTCATGTATTTTACAGCTTTGTTATTAGGTACATGCATATTTAAGACTGCTGTGTCATCCTGATGAATTGGCTCTTATCGTTATTAAATGCCCCTCTTTATCTCTATAATAGTAGTTTCAGTGAAGTCTACTTTGTTTATTAATATAGGCCCCCTCCAGCTTTCTCATTGCAATGTTTGCATGGTATACTTTTTTTTTATGTTAATCTATGTGTTTCTTTATATTTACAGTGCTTCTCTTATAAACAGTGCATTGTTGGGTCCTACATTTTTTTAATCCAAGTTAATAGTCTGCTTTTTAATTGGTGCCCATTTACATTTATTGTAAGTATTGATATGGTTGGGTTTAAATATGCCATCTTGGTATTTGTTTTCTAGTCATCCTATTTGTTTTTTATTCCTCTGTTCTTCCTTTCTTCCCTTCTTTTGGGTGAATGGAATATTTTAAACTGTAACTCTTTGTGTTGTTTCAAATAAAAATACTACTTATTCACACAGTTTTATTATACAAATAATATCTGAGTTAAACTGGTATTCAAATTAGAGTATGCCAAAAGAGAGCTAAGAGAAGATACATAAGGGATTGGGTCATTCTGGTGGCAGAAACCAACTTTTTCTACCAGAATTCTATCTGGGGCTGGCCCTGCCCCTCTTTTCCCATCACAAAATTGAACCATGACCTAGCAAACCTTAGGCTAACATGGTAGTAATAATACAAAGCACATATTGGTTAATAATTGCAGTTAATATAATTGGATAGCTACCTGTATATTGTCACTTTCTTCTCACTGATAGGATCTTAGGATCCATCCTGGAAAATATGAAGTAATGTCCATCCAATTTGATTTATATCAAATACTGTTTTTTATGTATCAGTCAAACAATTCATGAGCAGCTTGGTGCTGTCTCTAGAATCTTGCAATTTAAGTGAGAAGGCATTTATATAATTGTATTATGTATTTATATTATATAGTCTCATATGCATTTATTATATAGTTATGTAATTAAAAGATGAATAGCAAGGCAAGACTGTGTGTTAACTTTTACAGATACATAAATGAAATAAAGATGTATATGTGGTTAATTAAAGAAACAGGCTGGGCACAGTGGCTCATGCCTGTAATCCTACCACTTTGGGAGGCTGAAGAGGGCTGATTGCCTCAGCTCCTGAGTTCGAGATCAGCCTAGACAACATGGTAAAACCCTGCCTTTACTAAAATACAAAAAATTAGCTGGGCGTGGCAGCGTGCATCTGTAATCCCAGCTACTCAGGAGGTTGAGGCAGGAGAATTGCTTGAACCCAGAAGGCAGAGGTTGCAGTGAGCCGAGATTGCGCCACTGCAAATGCACTCACTCCAACCTGGGTGACAAAGCAAGACTCTGTTTCCAAAAAAGAGAGAGAGAGAGAGAAAGAAAGAAAGAAAGAAGAAAGAAAGAAGAAAGAAAGAAGAAGAAAGGAAGGAAGGAAGGAAGGAAGGGAGGGAGGGAGGGAGGGAGGGAGGGAAAGAAGAAGAAAGAAAGAAAGAAAGAAAGAAAGAAAGAAAGAAAGAAAGAAAGAAAGAAAGAAAGGAGGGAGGGAGGGAGGGAGGGAGGGAGGGAGGGAGGGAGGGAGGGAGGGGAAAGGAAAAGAAAGAAAAGAAAGAAGAAAGAAAGATGAAAGAAAGAAAGAAACAGCTGCCTAAGTAGGGAAATTGCCACATATTTAGACCCTGGCCACACCATGCTTTCTCCACAGGCTAACAGCCTGCAAGGTTCACATTTCTCTGACATTTTCCTGAATTGCTTAATATCCAATCTGGTATCTTTTTGTTTCTCTCTACAGAGGCTCTTGGTCATTTATAGTGAGTGATACTCTTACTTTTTTCCCCTTCCCTCTTCTGTATGTAGATGGTTATAGATAAGTATCACATGATTATTTAAAGGATTGAAATTCCATTTTGATTTGCCTTTCCTGGGTAGGAAACATTTACATCATTTTATACTTTTGAGCATGAATTGCCTCTCTTTCTAGGTGTAATCAATTTCTACTCTTCAGCATACAAAAGATTTTATGAATACTATTCACTGCACAAAGAGCCCTAAAAATAATTTTGCAGGTAGGATTTATGGAACACTGATAGTCTTATGTGAAACATCGGCAGGCAAAAAGAACAAAGGCACATCAGGGTAAAGGTGGTAGTAGGCAGAGCGTTTCATTTCATTTGCCTCCACCAAAGGAGAATTTGCATTTACTGGAGAAGGAAAACAAGTAAGAAACAGAAGCATCTGCACTAGCTGTTGAAGGTTTCATTTCTCATCACTGTTAGTCACATTTGAATGGAACCATTACACTCTTGTTGGTATGTACAACTATGCCCTCACTTTTTTTTTCCCAAAAGGAAAATCTTGAATTTTATTTTTAAAAGTTATTTTAAAAATAATTATTTTTAAATGAAGGGAAGAAAATAATTATAGGAATAGAAGATAATTATTAAAATTAAAAGTACAAAGAGCTGTATTTGACCTTCCGCAGTTCATTGTGGAATTGACAGTCTTAAACCTATTCATTTTCAGTAGGGTGGTGGAGAGTGTACAGTATATGGCATTTTACTCCTTATAGCACCTCCGGTAATCTGTGATACATATTACATACATACACCTTTTAGCATCTGTTTCCACCTGACAGCTGACAGCATTAGACTGAATGTTGTGATGAACAAGAAATGTCAAGCAGTATTACAGTGGTTTCTTATTGGAAAAAGTAAGCTCCTTAGAGCTTTTTTAAAATACTTTTCCATCAAGATTTTAAAGTGACATATTTACAAGTACATAATTAAGATGACATACTCTTTAAATGTTAGTTATTCTTCTAGAAATGGAGATGGATTTGGGCTAATCAGCAGATCAGCAGATGATTATTCTCTTGAGCTAGGGTGTAAGCATGCTTTTTTTTTTTTGCTTTTTATAAGACAGGGTCTTGCTCTGTCACCCAGGCTGGAATGCATTGGCCCGATCATGTCTCCATGTCTCACCACAGCCTCGACCTCTGGGCTCAGCCTCTCGTGTAGCTGGAACCACAGATGTGCACCACCATCCCTGACCAATTTTTTAAATTGTTTTGTAAGAGACAGGGTCTCATTCACTATGTTGCCCAGGCTGGTCTCGAACTTTTGGATTCAAGCAACTCTATCCCCCTTGGCCTCCCAAAGTGTTGGGATTATAGGTGTGAGCCACTGCACCTGACCTTAAGCGTGCATTTTTGTTTTGTTTTGTTTTGTTTTGAGACAGAGTCTCATTCTGTTGCCCAGGCTGGAATGCTGTGACAAGATCTCGGCACACTGCAATGTCCACTTCCTGGGTTCAAGTGATTCTCTTGCCTCAGCCCCCAAGTACCTGGGATTACAGGAGCTCACCATCACGCCCAGACTTTTTTTGTATTTTTAGTAGAGTTTGGGTTTCCCTACGTTGGCCAGGCTGGTCTCAAACTCCTGACCTCAAGTGATCCACCCACCTCGGCCTCCCAAAGTACTGGGATTATAGGCATGAGCCACTGTGCCCAGCAAAGCATGCATATCATTCAGGGAAATCTATTTTGCATCCATATTACTGACTATTCTTAGATATATATGTATACAGGATGGTTAGAATTAAGAATTGCCAAAATTCTGTCTTAGTATAATATTTATTTATTTGACTGATTTTCAGATTATTCAGCTCAGCACAGAGAATAAGATTTATAGGTTTGTTTTCTTTTCTTTTTTATATAGGTTTGTTTTCTTATTTTTCTGCCACACTTGGGATTTTGGTCTAGTGGTCACAAAATATTTTCTAGAAATATATTTTCCTAGAATTACCCCCCCCCAAATAAAATTACTTAAAAAAAAAAAACTCTCTTTAGTACACCAAATTCAGATTTTGGACTTACATGCTTTGAACATATGCTAAAAATTAAGCAAATAAAATCTCTAACAAAGCAAAGTTGATCATATGGCTTTCAGAAAAATTCCAGCCAGTGTTGCCCACCCTAAATATTTCTTTCCCATCTCTTGGCCTGAATATACTTCAGGGGAGAAGCTGTTACACTCATCTTCCGTTAAAAAGTTTCTAGTGTTCATGTGCTTTAGAACCAGATTTTGGTTATTAGATAAACAATATACTGTTTAATCTATGTTGACTAATTAATCATTTATAACTTTTCAGGTGCTGCATAGGATGAATATGATTTGGAGAAATTCCACTTCTTGTCTAAGGCTAGGAAAGGTGCCACAGAGATACCAAAGTGGTTACCACCCAGTGGCCCCTCTGGGATCAAGGATTTTAACTGACCCAGCCAAAGTTTTTGAACACAACATGTGGTGAGTTTTCTTTTTAAGCCTTATATTATGTGTGTTTCTTAAGTATCGCCAGTGGTATTATTTTCATTTAGAACTAAGAAAGGATTTTTAAAGCTGATGACCTAACTGATGTTGTAGAGGTCCAAAAGCTAGGGTAACCGATCCTGACTGAAATGTTGTTGATTCTGAATTTCATTGCAAATGGAATTGGAAAAGAGAAACTTCCCATGTGCTTTTAGTAGCTTTGAAGTTCTTATGGGTCCTTCATGCTTACCTCTGATCTTGATTTGCCGGCTGTCAATGGGTTGGGGTGAGGACTCTTTCCTAGGTGAGGCCCTCCTCCTGCTCCACAGTCCTTTCCCTCTTTTTCATACTTGTCAACGGGCAAATATGTGTTGGCACCTGTAGTTTACTGAGCACCAAGGAGATCACATTGATATGATTCTTGTCCATGCTTTTAGGAAATCCACACTATTTGGAAAGATCGATGTTTATAGAAAAAGCTGATAATTACCCATACAAGGCAGTAAGTTGTCAGTGCTCAGTGAGTGTTACAGGCTATATGCCGTATGAGAACAACTTGGTAATGCAAAACCACTTCTGTTTGGGCATAGGAAGATTTCTTAAAGTGAGGGAAAACTGAGATTAGGATTACATACAGGCATACCTCAGAAATGTTGTGGGATTCGTTGAGACCACTGCAATAAAGCAAATACTGCAATAAAGTGAGTCGCACACATTTTTTGGTTTCCCAATGCATATAAAAGTTATGTTTACACTATGCTGTAGTCTCTTAAGTGTACAATGGCATTATGTCTAAGAAACCAATATACAAACCTAATTAAAAAGTAATTTGTTGCTAAAAAATGCTAACAGTCATCTGAGCCTTCAGTGAGTCATAATCTTTTTGTTGGCAGAGGGTCTTACCTCAATGTTGATGGATGCTGACTGATCAGGGTGGTGCTTGGAGTGGCTATGGCAGTTTCTTAAGAAAACAATGGAGTTTGCCTCATCAGCTGACTCTTCCTTTCATGAAAGATTTTTCTGTAGCATGTGATGCTGTTTGACAGCATTTTACCTACAGTAGAACTTTCAAAATAAGTCAGTCCTCTCAGATCCTGCCACTGTTTTATCAACTAAGTATATGTAATATTCTAAATATTCTTTGTTATAATTTCCACAATATACACAGTGTCTTTACCCCCAGTAGATTCCATCTCAAGAAACTACTTTCTTTGCTCATCCCTACAGAGGAACTCCTCATCTGTTCCAAGTTTTATCATGAGATTGCAGCAATTCAGTCACATCTTTAGGCCCCACTTTTAATTCTAGTTCCCTTGCTGTTTCCACCATATCTGCAGTTACTTTTTCCACTGATTGGAACCCCTCAGAGTCATCCATGAGGGTTAGAATCAGCTTCTTCCAAAATCCTATTGATGTTATTATTTTGACCTCCTCCCATGAATCACAAATGTTCTTAATGGCATGTAGATTGGTGAATCCTTTCCAGAATGTTTTCAGTTCACTTTGCCCAAATCCATTAGAGGAATTATTATTTATGGCAGCTATAGCCTTATGAAATGTAGTTCCTAAATAAGCCTTGAAAGTTGAAATTACTCGTTGATCCATGGGCTGCAGAACAGATATTTTGTTAGGCATGAAAACAACATTAATACCCTTATACATTTCCATCAAACTCTGGGGTGACAAGGTATATTGTCAGTGAGCAGCAGTATTTTGCAATTCCTTTTTCTGAGCATTAGGTCTCAACAGTGGGCTTAAAATGTTCAGTAAACCATGCTGCAAACAAATGTATTGTCATCCAGGCTTTGTTGTTTCATTTATAGAGTACACGCAGAGTAGATTCCGCATAATTTTTAAGGGCCCTAGGATTTTGGAATGGTAAATAAGCACTGGATTCAGCTTAAAGTCACCAACTGCATTAACCCCTAACAAGAGAGTCAGCCTGCCCTTTGAAGCTTTGAAGCCAGGCATTGACTTCTTTCTGACTATGAAAGACTTAGATGACATCTTCCAATAGAAAGCTGTTTTATTTACATTGAAAATTTGTTTTTTAGTGTAACCACCTTCATCAGTGATCTTTGCTGGATCTTCTGGATACTTGATGCTACAGCTTCTCCATCAGCACTTACTGCTTTGCTTTGCACTTTTATGCTATGGAGATGGCTTCTTTCCTTAAACCTTATGAACCAACCTCCACTAGCTTCACTTTTCTTCTGCAGCTGCATCATCTCTCTGAGCCTTCATAGAATCAAAGAAAGTTAGGGCCTTGCTCTGGATTAGGCTTTGGTTTATGGGAATATTGTGGCTGGTTTTTATCTTTTATGTAGACCAGTAAAACTTTCTCCATATCAGGAATACTGTTTCACTTACTTTTCATTCTGTATTCACTGGAGTAGCATCTTTTTTTTTTTTGAGAAAGGGAGACTGTCACCAAGCTGAAGTGCAGTGGTGTGGTCACAGTTCACTGCAGCTTCAACCTCCTGGGTCAAGTGATTCTATGACCTCAGCCTCCCAGGTAGCTGGGACTATAGGCATACACCACCGTGCCTGGCTAATTTTTTTATTTTTTACAGAGGTTGGGTTTCACCATGTTGCCCAAGCTGGTCTTGAACTCCTGAGCTCAAGTGATCTTCCCAGCCTAGGCTTCCAAAGTGCTGGGATTACAGGCATGAGCCACTGCACTCAGCCTGGAGTAGCATCTTTAATTTCCTTTAAGAACTTTTCTTTGCATTTCACAACTTGACTGGTACAAGAGGCATAGATTTTGGCCTGTCTCAGCTTACAATCGGCCTTCCTTACTAAGCTTAATCTTTTCTAGCTTTTGCTTTAAAGTGAGAGATATATAACTCTTCCTTTCAGTTGAACACATAGAGGCCATTGTAGGGTAACAACTGGCCTCATTTCAATATTTTTGTGTTTCAGGGAATAGGGGAGCCTGAAGAGAGGGAAAGACACAGGGAAAGCCAGGTCAGTGGAGCAGTCAGAACATACATAACATTTATCAATTAAGTTTGCTGTTTTATATGGGTATGGTTCATGGTGCTCTAAAACCATTACAATAGTAACATCAAAGATCACTGATCATAGATCATAACAGATATAATAATAATGAAACAGTTGGAAATATTACAAGAATTACCAAAATGTAACAGAGACATGAGGTGAGCACATGCTGTTGAAAAAATGGTGCCGATAGACTTGCTCAATGCAGGATTGCCACAAACCTTCAATTGGTAAAAAAATGCAGTAACTGTAAAGAGTGATAATGCAAAGCACAATTATACAAGGTATGCCTCTATTTATATTGCCTTCAGCACATGGCACAATGCCTGACACACAAATATTTGTTGAATTAATGTTTTGACTAGGTAAACTGAAATAAAGACATTCTAGGTGGATAGAAAATCATAAAGCACTGAGATGAGGAAATGTTAGTTATTTTCAGGAGACAGGGCACAGGATAGTTTGCCTTAAGAAAGGCTTTTCTAGGAGACTGGTGAAAGATAAGGTTGGAATGACATAGGCCAGATGAGGGAGAGGGGTAGGTTTAGGATTGTGCATGGTCCTGAATTCATAGCTGAAGTATAAGGCATTATAGAGCCACTGAAGATAAATGACATTATACTTAGTGTATTAAGTGTATGTATTTGGTAACACCATACTAGACTGATTAGCAGGGGGAATTAGAAGCAGGAAAGGGCCAGTGAGCAAGAGATCATGACAGAAGAATAAATAGAACTTGGTGCTTGTGCAGAATAAAGGAAAAGGAAGAAGTTGACTCTGAAGTTTTGATCTTAAGTAAATGATAGAAACTGGAAAATCAAGAGGTAAATTTATTTGTTTTATTTTGGAAGAAAGATGGCATTTAGACATTTTGGATAGGCTTTGTGAGCAGGACATTCAGGTGTGAATGTCCAGCACATAGACACTGCTGCTGGGAAAAGGGAGAGTGGTCAGAGCTAAAGAAGTCAAGTTGGGTATGAATCTGCAGACAAAACTGTTATCAGACTAGCCTCTGGAATAGCATCTATGGAGCTAGGAAAGGGATTCATAGGCTTTTTATGTTTTTATTGTAAATGAATCTCAATTTTGAAAGAGAATACATTGACTTTTTAATTACTTAGTTCTGCACTATACAGTATGGTAGCCACTAGCCACATGTGGTTATTGAGCACTTAAAATACATTACTAACTGGGTTGAATTGAGATGTGCTGTAAGATTTTAAAAACTTAGTACAAAAAATCAGGTAAACAATCTCATTAATAATTTTTATATTGAATTATACATTAAAATGGGTGGATATTTGGATATATGTATTAAATTTTATATATGCACACACATACATATATGAACACGTTTGTGTGTGTATATATATATGTATATATATGTAAATTTTTTTTTTTTTAAACAGTCTCACTCTGTCACCCAGGCAATCTCAGCTCACTGCAACCTCTGCTTCCCAGGTTCAAGCAATTCTCCTGCCTCAGCCTCCTGAGTAGCTGGAATTATAAGCATGCACCATTGAAATGGGAAATGTTCCCATGTCCCCTTCACAGGGCGTGCAGTCAGGGTGTGGCTTGCTTCTTTAGTGCCCTGCTGCTGAACTCTCTAGGGGAACATACAGACAGGCAGGCTGTAGGGCTCTGACCCCATGGCAGTCTCCAGGGGTGAACGTTTACAGCTCCTGAAACCCCAGTGGTCGTGTGTTACAGGGTGCTCTTTTAGTTTAGCCATCCTTAGGCAGTTTGTGTTAGTCAGCTCAATCAAGACCCCTGCTTTATCACAGACAGAGGGCTTTCTGTATCCTGGGGTTCTTGCCTTGGTGTACTGGAAGAATCGGATCACATGTAATCTTGGAGAATGAGTGCAAGGTTTTATTGAGGGGAAGTAGCTCTCAGCAGATGGGAGAGCCAGAAGGGAGATGGTTTTCCTCTGGAGTAGAGCAACTTAGTGGACTGGACTCTCCTCAGACTGCTCTGGCCAAACTTTGCATCCTTCTGCTAGTCAGTGGCTTGCCAATATGCAGGTGCCTGCTTATATGCGTCTCAATATCCAGCCGCCTGTTTTTCTACCTGCTGGGGTCTCAGGGGGTTTTATAGGCATAGGATTGGGGCATGGCAGGCCAGGGCAGTCAGGAAATGCAACATTTGGGCAGGAAACACCTGTCCTTACCTAGGTCTGTGTGAGTGGAGCACTAGCCAGGGACCACGTCCTCCTCTACCCAGCACTTCCCTTCCTCCCTTCGGTATCATTTAAAGAGACCATGCTCTTTCCTTCCATATTGCTACCATGCCCAGCTAATTTTTGTTTTTGTTTTTTTTTTTTTAGAAGAAGAAGGGGAAAAAAAGAAAAAGAGGGAAAAAGGAATATTACTTCATTCCTAAAATGGTTTTCAATAATGGCCGATCAATATTTTGAGTGTTTAAAGTGGTTAATGCATATTTTATGTGTTTAAAATGGAGACCTCTATTGTGTTTATTTGTTCTGGCTCTGAGTTCAAGTCCTGGATATCGTTATCAATTTGTTGTCTCGTTGAATCTAAATCTCATTATGTGTCTTATGTATCTGGGTGTTAAGATCTCTTATTGTTGCATTAATCCTTTTACCCTTGCATCCTTGTAGCTTTGAAATCTATTTTATTAAGTGTGAGAATTGCAACTCCTGCTTTTTATTTATTTATTTTTGCTCTCCATTTGGTTGGTGAGTTTTTTTCCATCCCCTTGTTTTGAGTCTTTGTATATCTTTAGATATATCGTTAGATTTTGTGGATAATGTATATTTTGTGTGTTTAAAATGGAGAGCTCTATTGAGTTTATTTGTTCTGGATCTTAGTTCCAGTCCCGGATATCGTTATCAATTTTCTGTCTCGTTGAATCTAAATCTTATTATGGGTCTTATGTATCTGGGTGTTAAGATCTCTTATTATTACATTAATCCTTGTATCCTTGTAGCTTTGAAATCTGTTTTGTCAAATGTGAAAATTGCAACTCCTGCTTTTTATTTATTTATTTTTGCTCTCCATTTGGTTGGTACGTTTTTTTTTCCAACGCTTTATTTTGAGTCTATGTAAATCTTTGGATATACTGTTAGATTTTGTCTGTATCTTTTGATTGGGAGATTTGGTCGATTTAAATTTAGGGTTGCTGCCGTTTGATATTAACTGGCTATTTTGTCCTTTCATTGATAAAAATTCTTCTTTATGTTAATGCTCTTTACTTTTTGGTGTATTTTTAGAAAGGGTCATACTGGTTGTTCCTTTCTGTGTATAGTGCTTCTTTTAGAAGTCCTTGTAAAGCAGGCCTGGTGGTAATAAAATCTCTGAGTACTTGCTTGTTCCTAAAAAATTTTATTTTTCCTTCAAATGTAAAGCTTAAATTGGCAGGATATGAAATTCTGGGCTGAAAGTTCTGTTGATTAAGTATATTGAATATTGGCCCCCACTCTCTTCTAGCTTGTAGGGTTTCCACTGAGAGATCTGCTGTAAGCCTAATAGGCTTACCTTTATGGGTAACTTGATCTTTCTCTCTGGCTGCCCTTAATATTTTCTCCTTCGTTTCGATCTTGGTGAATCTAACGATTATGTGCCTTGGGGTTGGTCTTCTTGAGGAATATCTTTGTGGTGTTCTCTGTATTACCTGGGGTTGAATAGTGTCCTGCTTTGCTAAATTAGGAAAATTTTCCTGGATAATGTCCTGGAGAGTATTTTCCAGCTTGAATTCATTCTCTCCGTCACATTCAGGTACACCAATCAAGCGTATATTAGGTCTTTTCACATAGTCCCATATTGCTTGGAGACTTTGCTCATTCCTTTTTATCCTTTTTTCTCTATTCTTGTCTTGTTGTTTTGTTTCATTAAGTTGATCTTCGACCTCTGATACCCTTTCTTCTGCTTGATCCATTCGGCTGTTTAAGCTTGTACATATTTCACTAAGTTCTCATGTTGTATTTTTCAACTCCATAAGTTCATTTGTATTCCTCTCTATATTGTCTATTCTTTTCAACATTTCATCTAACCTTTTTTCCAAGTTCTTAGTTTCTTTACATTGGGTTAGAACGAGTTCCTTTAACTCCCAGAAGTTTCTTATCATCCACCTTTTAAAGCCTACTTCAGATAATGGAACACAGTCCTTTTCCATCAGGGCTTGTTCCGTTACTGATGAGTCCTTTTCCATCAGGGCTTGTTCGGTTGCTGATGAGTCCTTTTCCATCAGGGCTTGTTCTGTTGCTGATGGGTTCTGATTTTGAGTATACTCGGCCTTCTTAGGCTGTTTTTTTCCCTTCATTGTAGATGAACCGCCTTTCTAATTAGTTTTCTGAGTCGACGTCCGACTTATTGATTCCCAGTGTTGGGATCCGAGCAACCCACTGTGGCAGCCTAAATAGCAGCGGTAAGACTGATGGTGCTCTTCTGCCCGGGAATCTCTGGTCTGGCTTCCCTCTTGAGTCCGCAACAAGCGGCTCTGACTTCCCGGAGCTCCAAACCCCGGTCAGTAGGGGAAGCAGTCCCGTTGGCTCTGCATGAAGAGCTGCTGCGCCTAGACGCCGGCAAAACCGCTGCGGCGGCCACAAGAGTCTCGCTGGCGACCCGTGGGGCTCCTCCACTGGGAATCGGCTGATCGGTGAGTGACGAAAATTTGTCTAAAAGTGTGGCGTCGTCTCGTTCTCTGGGCTTTCACTGGGAGCTACAATCCTGAGCTGTTAGTGGTCGGCCATCTTTCAATTTTTGTATTTTTTTGTAGAGACAAGGTTTTGCCATGTTGGCCAGGCAAGTCTCAAACTCATGACCTCAGGTGATCTGCCCACCTCGGACTCCCAAAGTGCCAAGATTACAAGCTTGAGCCACTGTACCTGGTGTGAATAAAATGTATTTTTAAAATTAATTTCACCTCTTTATTTTCACTTTTCTTTATCATGGCTACTAGACATTTTAAAACTACATATGTAGTTCACATTATACTTTTTTGGACAGCTGCTCCATTAAACCATGTTGACTACCATCACCGATATGGATAGTTATCGCATGCTATAAGATGAAATGGGCCCTTTGCCAGTCAATTAAATCTCCAGAGCAACTTCTGATCTTAGGCAAGCTCCTCATTTACCAACTTTTTTGTTTTCTTCATTAGACCTTAGTGATTTAGCTAACTATATTCTCTTTTTCCATCTGCTACCACCTGCTCTCTTGCCTGAGCTGTTTTGTCATAGACTCTCAGGAAAGCAAGGATCATCTGGTCCAGCGCTTCTCAAACACGGACTAGCTTTGGGCTGGCTGCACGAGAATCCTTCAGGGAGTTACTTTTTCAGTAGGTCTAGAGGTATGGCCCAGGAATTTCTAACTTGAAAAAGCTCTTTTAGTAATCCTGTTGAGGAGCTAGGTTTGGGAACCCTTGATTCAGTCCAGTGGTTTTTACACTTTTCTTTAGCAACAGAACTTTTTTCAAATGAAACTTTAACATGGAATCCTAGGATTAAAAAGGTAAAAGCAAACCTTCCCTGAATGAAGTAGGCATAGAGGCCTGGAGCATCATCAGCACCACTTCCTTTTCCTCTCCCGCTTCTCTTCACTTACTCTAGGGCCTAGAGGACCCTTAGGGCTCTGTTACTCAGTTTGAAAAACATTGATCTAGTCTAGACAGCCATCCATCACCATAGCATACCCCCTAAGGGGGTTGGCCAGTCTGCACTGGCCACCCGTGGTGAACTCCCTACCAACACAGATACATATTGTAATAGGAGTAATAAAAATTGTTTCACCTAGGGAAGAGGAAGGTATTTGATTCACATTATCTTCCCACGCACCTTTTTTTCTTCTTTTTTTTTCCTTAAAGAGATTTGTAAATTAAACGAAAACTGGTTTGTTCTCCCCATCCTTCAAGTCCAAAATTCTGTTCAAAAGTTTTTGTTTTCTTCCTTATTTTCTCCTTTATATTTAAGAATAGTGTTTCCTCTCTTGCTGAATTTTATTTTATTTTATTTTTGAGATAGAGTCTTGCCCTGTCACCCAGGCTGAAGCACAATGGCACCATATGGCAATTTTTAAGTGTGTGTGTGTGTGTGTGTGTAGAGGAGGGGTCTTTCCATGTTGCTCAGGCTGGCCTTAGACTACTGGCCTCAAGCAGTCCTCCTGCCTTGGACTCCCAAAGTGCTGGGATTACAGTCAGGAACCACCAGACCCAGCCTGAATTTGATTTTTTTTGTGTCTCTCCACCCCCATGTCCGAATTTGATTTCTTTAAAGATGTTTCTAGAAAAGTACATGCCAGTTTTCTCTCAGAAATGTTGCTCAGAATTATCTACAGTTCATTTTTCCATTTAGCCTTTGGTTTGTAAGGATGATTTACTCTCTATATGACCATATTTTAAAAAAAATTAAGAAAAAATAAAGATACCCTTTTTTGTTTAGTTTCTAATATCCTGAGAAAGTTTTGTCTTCCAGATTCTGGATATTTGTATTATTAGTACTTATATCTGCTTATAGTCTTTTACCTACTTACTAAATAAATAAATAAATAAATAAATAATTTAAAGACAGCATCTCGCTCTGTCACCAGACTGGATGGAGTGCAGTGGCACAATCATGGCTCATTGTAGCTTTCACCTCCTTGGCTCAAGTGATCCTCCTGCCTTAGCCCCCCAAGTAGCTGAGATTACAGGTCTGTGCTACCATGCCTGTCTAATTTTTAATTTTTTTGTGGAGATGAGGTCTCACTGTGTTGCCCAGACTGGTCTTGAACTCCTGGGCTGAAGCAATCGTCCTGACTCAGCCTTCTAAAATGCTGAGATCACAGGAATGAGCCACCACAGTTGATCTAGTCTTTCCTTTTTCATTTGTTTGTTTGTTTGAGACAGGGTCTTGCTCTCTTGCCCAGATGGGAGTGCAGTGGCATAGTCATAGCTCACTGCAGCTTCAACCACCTGGGCTCAAGTGATACTCCCACCTCAGCCTCCCAGGTAGCTGGAACTACAGGCATGTGCCACCATGCCTGGCTAATTTTTTATATTTTTAGTATAGATGGGGTTTCGCCATGTTGCCCATGCTGGTCTTTAACTCCTAGGCTCAAGTGATCCACTTGTCTTGGCCTCCCAATGTGCTGGGATTACAGATGTGAGCCTCTGCACCCAGCCATTCTGGATATTTCATAGATATGGAATCATACAATGTGACCTTTTATGTCTGGCTTCTTTCACTTAGCATAATGTCTTAGAGGTTCCTATACCAGCCGGGCGCGGTGGCTCACGCCTGTAATCCCAGCACTTTGGGAGGCCAAGGCGGGTGGATCATGAGGTCAAGAGATCGAGACCATCCTGGTCAACATGGTGAAACCCTGTCTCTACTAAAAATACGAAAAATTAGCTGGGCATGGTGGTGTGTGCCTGTAATCCCAGCTACTCAGGAGGTTGAGGCAGGAGAATTGCCTGAACCCAGGAGGTGGAGGTTGCCATGACCTGAGATCGTGCCGTAGTACTCCAGCCTGGGTAACAAGAGCGAAACTCCGTCTCAAAAAAAAAAAGAGGTTTCTATACCTTGTAGCATGTATTGGCACTTTGTTCTTTTTATGGTTGAATGATAAATCACAGTTGGTTTATTTATTCATTTACTGATAGACATTTGGGCTGTTCTCCCGTTTTGCCTCTTGTGAATAGTGCTGCTATGAACATGGGCGAACTATATTCTTGTTTGGATCTCTGCTTTCATTTCTTTGGAATATGTACCCAGGAGTGGAATTGAAGGGTCATATGGTAATTCTGTGTTTAAGTTTTTGAGAACCTCAAACTGTTTTCCATAGTGACTGAACCATTTTATATTCTGCCTATTGTCTTTTAATTATACTTAGTACCTTTATCAATTTTCAAGGGTGCTGACAGGAAACGAAGTTCAAAATCCTTTTGAGACATGGCGCAGAGATCTGTCTATATACAGCAACTTACACAGTTATTTGGAAAAATCATTCCGTATTCCACACTGTTCTTGGTTTAAGCATATAGGAACTTTCCAAGGATCTCAGCCATTTATAAGGAAGCGCTAAGCATTTGTGTTGTATGACTACATCAGCTAGGCAATTGGCATGCTCCACAGTAAGAAACACTTTCCATCATGGAACAGCGCATATGTATATAACCTATACATATATATAAAACAGGGAAAAAAGTTTCCAGTACAGTTTTTACCATGTACAGTGTGGACCAGTATTTTCCATTTATTCTATTCTACTGTTTCTATTGCTTTTTCAAGGGTTGCTTAGACTAACTAAATTGATTTCATGACTCACCAAGGTTTATGACCTTTAGTTTAAAAAGCACTGAGCTAAGTCTTTCTCTATAGATCCAAGGTAAGACCTGTGTGTTGCAACATGACTTCTATTTTGTAACCCACTTAAATAATAGTTTCCAGAATCTCAATGAAGAATTCTTCATTGGCCGGATGTGGTGGCTCACGCCTATAATCCCAACACTTTGGGAGGCCGAGGCGGGTGGATCACGAGGTCAAGAGATTGAGACCATCCTGGTCAACAAGATGAAACCCCGTCTCTACTAAAAATACAAAAATTAGCTGGGCATGGTGGTGCGTGCCTGTAGTCCCAGCTACTTGGGAGGCTGAGGCAGGAGAATTGCTTGAACCCAGGAGGCGGAGGTTGTGGTGAGCCGAGATCGTGCCATTGCACTCCAGTCTGGGTAACAACAGCGAAACTCCGTCTCAAAAAAAAAAAAAAAAAAAAAAAGAATTATTATATAATTTCCCTTATATAATAATTGTACTTATCATCTGATTCCTCTTGCCCTGTTTCATACATAGTTCTTTTTGTTTTTGACATGCTCAATACAGGTGTGTTTTGTTGTTATTGTTTTGGGGGTTTTTTTTGTTGTTGTTTTTTGAGATGGAGTCTTGCTCTGTCTTCAGGCTGGAGTGCAATGGCTCGATCTCAGTTCACTGCAGTCTCCACCTCTCGGGTTCAAGCGATTCTCCTGCCTCAGCCTCCCAAGTAGCTGGGATTACAGCGCCTGCCATCATGCCCGGCTAATTTTTTGTATTTTTAGTAGAGATGGAGTTTTGCCATGTTGGCCAGGCTGGTCTCGAACTCCTGACCTCAGATGATCCACCCGCCTTGGCCTCCCAAAGTGCTGGGATTATAGGTGTGAGCTGCTGTACCTGATCCAGATGTGGATTTTTTTTGTAGTTTTCTTTTCTTTCTTTTTTTCTTTTTTCTTTTTCTTTGAGTTCCAGGACACATGTGCAGAATATACAGGTTTGTTACATAGATATACATGTGCCATTGTGGTTTGCCGCACCTATCAACCCATCATCTAGGTTTTAGGCCCTGCATGCATTAGGTATTTGTCCTAAAGCTCTCTCTCCCCTTGCCCTTCATGCCCTGACATACCCCTGTGTGTCGTTGTTCCCTCCAGGGAGGCAGAGGTTGCAGTGAGCCGAGATCATGCCACTGCACTCCAGACTGATGACAAAGTGAGACTCTGTCTCAAAAAAAAAAAAAAAATCCTTGCTATTTCTCCATAGCCTCACCAGAATCTATTGTTTCCTTTTTAATAATCATGATTCTGGCTGGGGGCAGTGGCTCATGCCTGTAATCTTAGCACATTGGGAAGCCGAGGCAGGTGGATCACCTGAGGTTGGAAGTTCGAGATCAGCCTGACCAACATGGAGAAACCCTGTCTCTACTAAAAATACAAAATTAGCCGGGTGTTGTGGTTCATGGCTGTAATCACAGCTACTCAGGAGGCTGAGGCAGGAGAATCACTTGAACCCGGAGGTAGAGCTTGTGGTGAGCCGAGATCACGCCATTGCACTCCAGCCTGGGCAACCAGAGCAAAACTCCATCTAAAAAAAAAAAAATGCCATTCTGACTGGCATGAGATGATATCTCATTGTAGTTTTGATTTTTTTTTCTCTACAATGAAAGCTAATACAGTGGCTAAACCATGGACTTCAGAATTTTTTTAAAAAAATCCAAATCTAAACAGCCATGTGAATCTCAGAAAGATTTTTTTTTCTTTTCTTAATTTTATTTTAGTAGTTTCTGGAGAACAGGTGGTTTTTTGTTACATGGATATGTTCTTTAGTGGTGATTTCTGAGATTTTGGTGCACCTGTCACCTGAGCAGTGTACACTGTACCTAATATGGAGTCTTGTATACCTCACACCCCTCCCACCCTTCTCCCTGAGTCCCCAAAGTCAATTCTGTCATTCTTATGCCTTTGCATTCTCATAGCTTAGCTCCCACTTATAAGGGAGAACACATGATATTTGGTTTTCCATTCCTGAGTTACTTCACTTAGAATAATGGTCTCCAGTTCTATCCAAGTTGCTGCAAAGGCTTTTATTTTATTCCATTTTATGGCTGGGTAGTATTCCATAGTGTGTATATACTACATTTCCTTTATCCACTTGTTGGTTGATGGGCATTTAGATTGGTTCCATATTTTTGCAATTACAAATTGTGCTGCTGCAAACATGCATGTGCATGTGTGGTGTTTGTTTTTTGTTTTCCATATAATGACTTCTTTTCTTTTGGGAGATACCAGTAGTTGGATTGCTGGATCAAATGGTAGTTCTGCTTTTAGTTCTTTAAGGAATCTCCATACTGTTTTCCATAGTGATTGTACTAGTTTACATTCCCACCAGCAGTGTAAAAGTGTTTCCTTTTCACCACATACATGCCAACATTTATTATTTTCTATTTTTTTATGGCCATTGTTGCAGGAGTAAGGTGGTATCTCATTGTGGTTTTCATTTGCATTTCCCTGATAACTAGTGATGCTGAATATTTTTTTCATGTTTGTTGACTGTACATCTTCTTTTGAGAATTGTCTATTCATGTCCTTTGCCCACTTTTTGATGGGATTATATGCTTTATTTCTTGCTGATTTGTTTGAGTTCCTTGTAGATTCTGGGTATTAGTCCTTTGTCAGATACATAGTTTACAAATATTTTCTCCCACTCTGTGGGTTGTTTGTTTATTCTGCTAATTATTTCTTTTGCTTTGCAGAAGGCTTTTAGTTTACCTAGGTCCCATTTATTTATTTTTGTTTTTGTTGCACTTGCTTTTGGGGTCTTAGTCATGAATTTGTTGCCTAAGCCAACGTCTAGAAGAGTTTTTACAATGTTATCTTCTAGGATTTTTATGGTTTCAAGTCTTAGATTTAAATCTTTGGAAACAATAGAGGCCTCACATGTAGAGCCAGCGCTTGCAGCCTCCCTGCCCCTCCTGCAATGCTTGACCCCAGGATTCCCCCCACTCGCTTTCTCGCCCTGGCCGACAAGGAACCAGCCTTCGATGACGCAGTGAAAGAACGAGTGATTAACGAGGAGTACAAAATATGAAAAAAGAACACTCCTTTTCTTTATGATTTGGTGATGAACCATGCTATGGAGTGGCCCAGCCTAACTGCCCAGTGGCTTCCAGATGTAACCAGACCAGAAGGGAAAGATTTCAGCATTCATCGACTTGTGCTGGGGACACACACATTGGATGAACAAAACCATCTTGTGATAGCCAGTGTGCAGCTCCCTAATGATGATGCTCAGTTTGATGCATCACACTATAACAGTGAGAAAGGAGAATTTGGAGGTTTTGGTTCAGTTCGAGGAAAAATTGAAACAGAAATCAAGATCATCCATGAAGGAGAAGTAAACAGGACTCATTATATGCCCCAGAACCCTTGTATCATTGCAACAAAGACTCCTTCCAGTAATGTTCTTGTCTTTGACTATAAAAAACATCCTTCTAAACCCGATCCTTCTGGAGAATGCAACCCAGATTTGCGTCTCCATGGACATCAGAAGGAAGGCTATGGGCTTTCTTGGAACCCAAATCTCAGTGGGCACTTGCTTAGTGCTTCAGATGACAACACCATCTGCCTGTGGGACATCAGTGCCATTCCAAAGGAGGGAAAAGTGGTGGATGCGAAAACCATCTTTACAGGGCATACAGCAGTAGTAGAAGATGTTTCCTGGCATCTGCTCCATGAGTCTCTGTTTGGGTCAGTAGCTGATGATCAGAAACTTATGATTTGGGATACTCGTTCAAACAATACTTCCAAACCAAGCCACTCAGTTGACGCTTACACTGCTGAAGTGAACTGTCTCTCTTTCAATCCTTATCATGAGTTCATTCTTGCCACAGGATCAGCTGACAAGACTGTTGCTTTGTGGGATCTGAGAAATCTGAAACTTAAGTTACGTTCCTTTGAATCACATAAGGATGAAATATTCCAGGTTCAGTAGTCACCTCACAATGAGACCATTTTGGCTTCCAGTGGTACTGATCGCAGACTGAATGTCTGCGATTTAAGTAAAATTGGAGAAGAACGATCCCCAGAAGATGTAGAAGATGCGCCACCAAAGTTGTTGTTTGTTCATGGTGGTCATACTGCCAAGATATCTGATTTCTCCTGGAATCCCAATGAGTCTTGAGTGATTTGTTCTGTATCAGAAGATAATATCATGCAAGTGTGGCAAATGGCAGAGAACATTTATAATGATGAAGACCCTGAAGGAAGCATGGATCCGGAAGGACAAGGGTCCTAGATATATATGTCTTTACTTCTTGTGATTTTAGATTCCCCTTTTTTCTTCTCAACCCTGAGAGTGATTTAACTTTGGTTTTGAGACACAGACTTTGTTCAGCTATCCCTCTATATAATAGGTACCACCAGTAATGCTATTAGCCCAAACAGTAGGTGTTTTCTAAATTGGGGGCTTGATTCAGCAAAGCCATAGACTTACATTGAAATTTTCTTCAGGAATTTTCTAGTAACAAACCCAGGTCTAAAGTAGCTACAGAAAGGGGAATATTATGTGTGATCATTTTTCTTAAGCTATATCCCCAAGTTTTTCAGACTCATTTAAGTAAAGGCTAGAATAAATAAGGAATAGAGCCAAATGAGGTAGGTGTCTGAGCCATGAAGTATAAATACTGAAACTTGTCACTTTTATTCAGGAAATAGGGAAGATTCAAGTCATATAGATTCCTACTCAAATCTTGACACCTGACATCGCAGGATGCACATTTTCATAGATAGACCAGTTTCTTCTTGGTTTCTTCAGTTAAGTCAAAACTACATGTTCCTCTTTCCCCATATATCTTTGCTTGTTAGTATAGTTCTTGAGCTGTTTTCATGTTGTTTCTTACCTTTCTGTGAAATGGTGTTTTTGTTTTTTAACTTGGGATCACCAAGTTGTAAAGATGTATGTTTTTACCTGAGAGTTATACCACAGGTAGACAGTCAAGTTGAGAAGAGTGAATCAATAACTTGTATTTGTTTGAAAAATTAAATTAATCCTTGATAAAAGTTGCTTTTTTTTTAGGAGTTAGTCCTTGAACACTAGTTTGATGCCATTTTGGGTGACCTGTTTCACCAGCAGGCCTGTTACACTCCATGACTAACTGTATAAGTGCTTAAAATGGAATGAATTGCTTTTCTACATTAAATAAATAAATAAATTTTTGATCCATCTTGGGTTGATTTTTGCGTAAGGTGAGAGATGAGGGTCCATTCTTCTATATGTGGCTTGTCTGTTATCCCAGGACCATTTATTAAATGGAGTGTCCTTTCCCTAGTTCATGTTTTTGTATATTTTGTTGAAGATTAGTTGGCTGTAAGTATTGGCTTTATTTCTGAGTTCTATGTTCTGTTCCATTGGTCTATATGCCTATTTTTATACCAGCACTATGCTGTTTTGGTAACTAAAGCCTGATAGTATAGTTTGAAGTTGGGCAATATGATGCCTCCAGATTTATTTTTGCTTAGTGTTGCTTTGGCTATATAGGCTCTTTTTTGGTTCTATATAAATGTTAGGATTGTTTTTCCTATTTCTATGAAGAATGATGATGGTATTTTGATGGGAATTGCATTGAATCTCTAGATTGCTTTTGGCAGTATGGTAATTTTTACAATATTGATTCTACCCATCCATGAGCATGGGATGTGTTTCCATTTGTTTGTGCCATCTGTGATTTATTTCAGCAGTGTTTTGTAGATTTCCTTGTAGAGGTCTTTCACCTCCTTGGCTAAATATATTCCTAAGTATTTTATTTTTTTGCAACTTTCATAAGAGGGATTGAGTTCTTGAGTTGATTCTCAGCTTGGCCATTGTTGGTGTGTAGCAGTGTTCCTGGTTTATGTACATTGATTTTGTATCCTGAAACTTTACTGAATTCATTTATCAGACCTAGGAGCATTTTGGAAGGGTCTTTAGGATTTTCTATGTATATAATCATATTATCGGCAAACAGTGACAGTTTGACTTCCTTTTTTCCAATTTGGATGCCCTTTATAATAAGTGTAAATACAGTGAAGTCCAAAGGAATTCAGGATAGGAAGAGCAGGTAGAATTTAACCTGAGTTTTGAAGGATAAGGAGTATTTAAATAGTGAAGATAATGTTTTAGACAAGTGGTAGTATGAATAAAGATGTGGATTTGGGAATAAATACAAGAGATATATTCAAACCAAGCAAATAGATCAGCCCAGTTGGAAGAGAGACTTCATACTTTGAAACTGGATGAGTGATGTGATAAAAGGAAGTATTTGGGAATATTAATTTGGCTCTGTTGCTCAAGATCCTTAGAGTTAATTATTATAGAACATGAAGTGATATCCTTTATCCCCAGCACTTTTTGTATATTGATAATGTGCCCATCACTGAGCTAGGTTCTATAGTATACCCAAGAGTGGACTAAGAGAAGATCACTGCTCTAAAGGATCTCTAGTCTATTTCACAAATAAACTGAAGCCTTCCAGGCAAAGAAGATGGGATGAATCTGAAACATAGAGTATTCTTCCTCCAACCAGTTGAATAAGAAATAGTAAAAACAAGCAGCACTCTTCCAACAGCAACCCCAAAAAGTTCATAAACATGGAAAATTAGTGACCCAGAGAAGAAATTGTAGATTCTTGTGTGGCTTTGAGTGGCTCTTAACCCTAACTGTATCCCTTAGAAGCAATACTAGGGAAAGAAATTTTGCTGGCAAAACCTAAGGTTTCTTAGGCAGCCTTGGCAAAGGTTGGAAAAGAACCCTTTAAAATAAGTGTTCTTACTGACTGCAGTAGAATTTGAGGTCTCAGCAGAGCAAACCAGAGGGCTCACCATTTTTTAGGGTACCATGTTGAATTGAGGAACCTATCCAAAGACCAGCAGAAACTTTTTTTGGGAATAGGGCACATACCAAGTAAGTAAGTGAACCTAGCACAGGACTTAATGCAGGGAGAAAAAGGCAGACCCAGTTTTTCAGCTTTTACTTGGAGAAAGCCAAGGTGCAACTTTCTTCAGCCATCCTACATTCAGGTTCAGTTGACACCAGCTGCTTTCACATGCCTCACAACTTCAACCACAATGAGATCAAACTGGTAAGACCTGAGGTGCGCCAATGAGGAAGTTGGTGCCACATCTGCCCTGTCTGCCCAGAACCTGATAGATCCCTGGATCTGTCTCTAAAAATAGTTGATGATACCACCAAGGCAACTGACAACTGGAATGGTAAGGATTACAGTGATACAGACCATTCAGGACAGGTAGGCCCAGATTCAGATGGTACCTTCTGCCTCTGCCATCATCGCCAAAGCCCTCAAGGAACTACCCAGAAACAGAAAGAAGCAGAAAACCATTAAGCATAATGGAAACAACACTTAATGAGATCGTTGACAGTGCCTGATAGATGTGTCAATGATTTTGGACAGAGAGCTCCCTGAAACTATAAAGAGATCCTGGGGACTGCTCAGTCTGTACTGCAGTGTTCGTTGCTGCTACTGTCATGGCAGCATAGATGACATCAACAGTGCTGCAGTTGAATGCCCAGCTAGTTAAAAACTACAAGAAAAATGTTTTAGAAAAGGATCATTTGACAAAACCAAAAAGCAGATCCAGACCCTCATAAAGGCTGTCTACTGCCCAATGGAGTCCATCAGTACCCCAACTCTCTCCTGCTATAGAAAAATGCAGAAAATACATAAGTCTAGTCTTTGAAATGAAGCCTACAGGGAAAGATAAGCAGGTCTCTAGAAAAGGTTAGGTGTCAGGGAGAATTCACCTGCAAAATAATAGAAAAGAAGGAATGATAAAGAATCTAGAATGCATTGTAAATTCATTTGTATTTTCTAATATTTTATATAAACAGAATAATATAATATGTATTATCTTTTTGTCTGACCTCTCTTAGCATAATTATTTTGAGATTTATCTATGTTGTCACATGTATCAATAGTTTGTTCCTTGTTACTGTTGATAAAAGATTCATAATCAGAATAAATGTAAAACTCTCAAAATTCAATAGTAAGAAAGCAAAGGACCCAGTAAAAATGAATGAAAAATTTTAAGATACTTCACCAAAAAAGATAGACAGATGGTAAATAAGCACATGAAAAGATGCTAAATATAATTAGTCCTTAGAAAAGTTCAGATGAAAGGCACAATGAAATACCACTGCACACCTATTAGAATAGCTAAAAGTACTGAGCTTACCAAGTGTTGATAAGGATGTAGAGGAACTGGAACTTTCATACACTGCTGGTGGGAAAATAAAACAGTGTAACCATTTTGAAATACAACTTCGCAGTTCGTTTGTTTTGGTTATGTTTTTAGTAACCACTATACTAACAAGGAACTTGGCAGTTTCTTTAAACATATACCTATTTATTGATATACAACATAGATGAATTTCAGAATAATTATGCTGAGTGAAAGAAGTTAGAAATAAAGAGTACATACAATGCTTTCTTGTACTGTACTAGAAAATGCTAACTAATATATAGAGACAGAAGGCAGATCACTGGTTGCTAGTGGTGGAGGTGGGTGGGGAGAAGGGGAGGAGTGGGAGGGAGGAATTACAAAGGGGCACAAGGAAACTTGAAGGGGACGGACATGTTCATTTTCTTGATTATGGTGAAAGTTTCTTAAGTGTCTACATGTATTAAAACTTACCAACTTGTTACACTTTGAATACAGTTTAGTGTATGTCAGTTACACCTCATTAAAACCTTTAAAAGACAGTTACATCCATACATTGGAAAATAATGTAGCAGTTAATAAAATGAGAGATCTAAGTATACTGATATCAAGAGATGGCTATGATACATCATTAAATGAAAAGAGCAAGCTGAAGAGAAGTATCTCCAGTATGACCTCATTTTTGTTAAGGAATTCTTGTATCAGTGCTACATATATATACACTTTTGCTTTTATTATTTTATTTTATTATTATTACTTTTTTTTTTAGACAGAGTCTCACTCTGTTGCCCAGGTTGGAGTGCAATGGTGCAATCTTGGTTTACTGTAACCACCCTCGGGTTCAAATGATTCTCCTGCTTCGGCCTTCCAAGTAGCTGGGATTACAGGCACCTCCCACCATGCCCGGCTAATTTTTGTATTTTTAGTAGAGATAGGGTTTCACCATGCTGGCTAAACTGGTCTTGAACTCTTCTTTGAGGCCAAGGCAGAGGGATCACCTGAGTTCTGGAGTTCAAGACTAGCTTAGCCACCATGCCCAGCCCACATCTTTGCTTTTATATAGAGAGAAAAGTCTGGAAAGGTCCACATTATTCTGATACTGGTATTTATCTCAAAGATGGGAATGGGGATGAGAGGGAGGGTAGAGATGAAACTATTTTATATGCATTGATATTGAGTTTTAATTTTTAAAGAATGGCCCCTCTTTATGTACCTATTTCCCATCTTGCTA